AAAAATATGACGCATAAAAATAAGAAGATTGTCTTGATCTTTTTTTGTAATAAAATAGAAAATGAATTGAAGATTTTATTTTTTCCATGTGTTCTCAATAGCCTAACGGATGGGAGTACGACTGCCGACATTTTGGTCGTGGGTTAAAATCATGTGGAACGCACTTGTTTCTTATTTTTTTAATTTTTTTTTTATTTTTTATTATTTTATTTATTTTTTTATATACAGTACCAGGCTGACCGAGCTTTTCCCGGAGTGCATATACTTTTTAAAGGTTTGGATAGTTAAAAAAAAATATTTTTGAAATAAAAAAAAAAATTGGATTTCGATATCTATTAAGTAAATTTTTTACTCTAAAACTTAGGTGGCAACCCTATTCCGAAATACGCTGCAATGAATGGTACATATCTTGAGCGTAAATGTACTGTGTATACATAACAAAAATGCTGATTGAAATTAACAAAATAAAAATTTGTATTACATAGAAGCGTGACAACCCTGATGGAAAATATTTTCTGACCAAAGTTCTCAACAATAACTTTCATTTGATATCCGTAAATTGTGTAGAATCGGAGGTAAGAGCATTGACACTCCGACTTTACTTGTGTCTTTACTTTAGGACCACCCTAATTTACATAGTACATGCCCAACATACTACTGCAGGGCAAATGCAATTCTGAAAATAGCATGTCACTGGTTACATTTACGCAAACATACATTCAAATTCAATTACAGTCCCTTAAACTGTTGTCAATGTTTGCTCTCTCTCTCTTACAAGCTTTTCCTTTTTCACAAAAAGTTGAGTTCTTCAATCCCCGAAATTCCATTACGTGCAGTTTTAAAATTTTTTTTCATTTTTGTATGAAAGTTTTAAGGCTAAGAGGACAGACATGTTGCTTTGCTGCTCCGTTGAGATGTATTTGTAAATGTAGAAAATGGCATTTTAGTATGCAAAAATATTGGAAATATTTGAATTAATTTAAATGCTTTATTTTCGTTTCCTTAATCAAAAAATTAAGCACACATAAGTATGAGTAAATGAATTCTCTTAGTTAACACTTGAATGCTTTCCAGCCCACCAATTTAACTTAAACTTAATAAAAAAATAATAATTCTTCTACATTCATCATATACGAACGCAAAATATTGTACATACATATGTATATAGTACGTAGATACGTATGTACGTCTAGAGTTTTCCAAACACACAACTGGAAAATATCCTTTTTGCAGACTAAATATCTTTTTAATGGGCTTTGCTTTCTTTGTATGCAATGTTTGTACAACTCATTCCACAGCTCGAATCACACCAGAATGGATTTCAACTTTTATACGGGACAAATCAACAAAGTAAACATAAGGAAAACAATGCGCTTCTGTTAATCTTTTACTCTTGATCCGAGCACGTGCTGGTGTATTGTGCGGCGCAAATGAACTGATGAGGTTGCTCATACGCTACGTAGGCGCATATACACTGTGGGAAATGCACAAGTGCGGAGCTGGTTGTGCACTAGAGAACTTTGAACCGTTACTAGTGCGCATTAATTATCTTTAGCATGCTAGCAACTGGTGAATTTAGCATTGCGATGCCCTACGAAGTGTGAATTGCCTCGTGCTGCATCCCTTTTTCGTTAGTTCCGAACTAGTTCTAAATTCAGCATCACATTTTCTATAACCACTTTCGACTTAGCAAATTTGCATGCCACTGAATAGAAAAAGTCGACTTGGCCAGCTACTTTTTACTTCACATAAAAAACACTCAGCGTTTGCAATTTTGTAAGTTATGAATATATATTTTGTTTTAAATTTTCTAATTTTTTCAATGGAAGAATGCGAATGAATTTAGGCAGCCTAGAGGACTAGTTTTAAGAAGTGTTGTTTTTTTTTAAAGTAATCATATTTCGCCGTTTTTGAATTGATGGGGCTCTAGTTGCTATTGGAATGGTTCACTGGTTCGGGGGTTCCCTGCAGGTTACATATATATGTACATACATTGATATTAACCAAAAATAAAGCCCGCATAAGGATAATATTTTTGATCTTACTGTTTTCAGTGCACATTAGGGTAGGCAAAAAAAAAAATGCATGTAAAAAAGTAAAGGTGGAAATTGAATGCTCCTGTTTTTTTTTTTATTTTGAAATCAAAAAATACTTAGAGGTCTCTCAACGCGCTGAACATTTTTCATGCATTTTATATGGGAATAAACCATTTTTCGCGAAAATGGTAAATAATAATAAGAGTAATAATTATTGAAAATCAAGATTTGTCGGCCAGAAAACACGGTTTCTCTTCAGGAGACTTCCAATAATAATACCCAATTTTATATTTTACCTTTTTTAATACTAGCGATTTTTTATTGGTTCCCCATTGCAATTTTTAGGGTGTCCTATAAAAAATAGTTACTGTTAAAAAATGCCTAAAAAAAAGATTGGGTATTATAATTGAAAGTCTCATTGATTTTCAAGAATTCTATACGAAAAATTGTTTTTTTACCATATAAATTACATGCAGACCACTAAATATTTTTTGATTTCAAAATAAAATAGGGTTATAATTTTTTTTTGCCACAGAATATTTCTGTAAATTCCGGTTTTAATTTTTTTTTGGACTACCCTAGGGCACATATATGCAAATGCATATACAGTGACTCACACAAATGACCACGTGTTTTTTTTTTGATGTTCGTAATTTTTTTCCAGCTAACATTTTTTTTGCTATTTTTATATAAAAATATCGTCTAAGCTTTAACCAAAACCGTCAGTTTCAAACTTTATACAAAATTTAGGAAAATTCAATAAATTTCCATCAAAATTTCAACTTTTTATCCTGAATTGTTGCAGTTTTGTAGCCCCTACAAGTTTGGTCTAATGAAGTGCAAGTTCCAAATGGCTAAAAAAATCGCGTTGATTTTGAGAATTTATAAATGACAAAAATAACAAAAAAAATTTAGCTTGAAAAACATTACAAATATTTGAAGAAAATCAACACGTGATCATTTGTTTGAGTCACTGTGTATATATATGAATGCAAGCCGATCGTCTCCCTAAGCGATATGAATAATAAATATTTTACACCATGTTGCGGTAATTTTTTTTAGTAAAAGAACTGACATGCAGTAATTGTACATTTTTTATTTTTCACCAGCGTGCAAGGATTCTTTGAATGAGCTTTATTAAAAAAATAAAATTTAATTGACTTTGGTTAATGCGAAGCGTAAAACAGTGGTGCACAGATTTTATTAAATTGAATTGCGGAGTACCTAGTTTCAAAAACGCTGATAAAATTATCCAATCCTGTTTTTAATCGTTAAGAGTTTGACACCTGCAAAAAAAAAAATTCATAGCGATGGAAAAAATCGTACGCACTTTCGAATTTTAAAGACTACGGTGAGACTAAATGTGAGTAAGTTTTTGGAATGCCTGGTCTAAGGCACAGTAAAACAAGTTCGTTATATTTTTCAACATAATTTAGTCAAGAACAAGTTCGGAAATATGTACTTTGGAAGAAATCTGAATAGTGAGTCTCTTTTGAAGTCCAGGGGGAACGAGGCCGTCCAACTTTCTCCTTCTAGTTAGACTAGTTTTGGTTGGGTGGTGAACACCCAATTCTCAGCAAACAACTATATATATCGTGAATCGTCAACTGATTTTTAGCATAATTCGTTAGTTTAAGGAATGCGAAAATAACTTTATTTTTTTCAATTGAATCTTCTTTGTCTATTTGTGGTTTCTAGAAAGGAGAATTCCTTTGCATTAAATAAATTCAGATTATTTTAAAATACACAAATAAAATTCACTATCACCTGGATCAAGGAATTTTTTAAAGCCAATGTAAATACTTACCTTGTCATAGAATTTGCAATTCAAAAAGGAATACAATGGTTAAAACTTATTTATTACCATAATCTAAATTCCGTAAAATTACTTTATGAATTTACTTACACATAAGTACATACAAGTGTTGGATTTAAAATCACAAAATATTTACAAAGTCATGAATAAATATTTTCCCGAATTGGTTTGTTCATTTTTTTTTAGTTGATACGTTTTTCACATATTTCCCGCCATAGCTGTGTGTGTGCACAAAAAGACAAGTGCTGCACACATACATACATACATACATGCATACATATACAACTTATATAAGCATTTATTTTTAGTGTTGGCAAGAAAAAGATACGGGTATTGTATGCCTGAAAAAAAAATATATATTTTACAATTAAATTTACAAAGGAATATACGGCAATTTCTTGTAAACTACCACGAAAAATATGCATCTCGCCTTTTTTGCAACTTTTGCAAGTATTTTCCTTTCACAAATATTCGCTTGCGTAAAAGAGTAATTTTCGGATTTGATACAAGTGCGATTGAAACCATTGCCTTCCCGTTGCTCTTTTTCTTTCGCCCCTCCTCACATTTTTTCTCTCCATGGCATGCCATGATATATGTACATACTATTTGAATGTGTAAAAATTCAGCTCAGCGTAGTTCGATTCACTTCTGCGTTACAATTATGGTGGTATGTTCACTGTTATGTGTAAACTTTTGTCATCGGCTGGTTCACTCGGCGTGCCTGCTGAAAGAAAATTCACGATAAAATACAGGTAAATGAAAGCTTAAAAATATTTATGAAAGGCGCTTGAGACAATTTATTTTTAAAATTTCGCATATTTACATATATAGTACATACATATATATAGCGCATATAAAAATTGCAACATGAATTCGTTAATCAGATT